TTGAAATAAACTGGACGAAAGAAAACTGGAAATCAAGAACATGTTATGCAATTTGAACTAAACCGTGAAAGTGAGGATCATCGATGCTGGTCTTTGTATCAGTAAATAACCATAAACAGTTACCAATATCATAGAATGGAATTAAACGAGTGGGAAAAAAATGGTAATGTTATCCACTGGAAATATCAAAATCAGACTCGCAATTTGCGATTCAACATTAAGCATTGAACAGTGCTCAGAAAGTATTTATAAATTTCTTCTAGAAATATCAAAAGTTTCTGCGAAAACCCAAGATGAGACTCGCCACCGCTACAAATCTTTAGATGGTATCGTTTTAATATTACATTAGTATGAAAGTTTTAACAAGTCGACTTTCAATAGAATTTATAAAGGAGTATTCAAACAAACAGCAATTGCTGTATTTATATAAATAGGATTTTAGTAGTATTGCATGTACCATGAAGTCAAATTGAAAGCTAGAAAAAAAATCTAGGTTTAGTGGTCCTCGATGTAATCAGTTTTTCAAAGTCGTATTTAGTTTTATTTGTATTTCACGGCAAAACAGTCCATTTTGTCTACCGTTCCAATTCCGTTTTGGGGCTACTGCCCGAGATTTTCTTCCAAGCATCAGAGGAACACGAGGAGGAAGCTGACCATAGTACTCTACAACCATCAAAACATATTAATGATTCTACTAGCTTTGAAGATAAATACAGCTTCTGATAGAGTAAATATTTTGACTAGATCGGGTAATTATCTCATCTTGAAGTAACGATCACTATATTTGTGCTGCTCCAAGATAAGTTTTAAAAAGCTGATTAGGTTAAACATGAAGTATCTTTGCTTTGTTATTGATCGGATAATTGGTGTACTGTAGGATGGAAAATCGAAACAATTTATGATTATAGATGCTCGGGGCTCTGATTATGTAGGACACAGTTTTGAAATCAAACCATCTCATTTCACACCTCTATCAAACTAAGTAGCAGCAAATCTTTATTTTTTACTTTAGGCTAAGAGCGAACGAATGAGTAAAGAATAAGTATCTCATGACTCTAAAATGAGGTTGAATAGAGATCTTTCAGCTGATCGAAATGCATTACTATTACAGTCGGATCCATTTATAAAATACAAGTTTTTAAAAAGGTTCATTCAGTTATTTTGAATCTGCTAACATTTAAAGAATTAAAGAAGAATTTAGAAATGCATGTACTTACGAACCTCAATTCAGCATTACCAAACTTTGAATTCATCGAAAATGTATCAACTAGCTTGAGAAAACATCACCCAGCCTTAAGAAAATTTAAGCATGTTCATTAGTTAAACTTTATCCAGACTCGCCTTTAAAGCAAGAAATACACAAAACACTGTATTTGCATACACTCTGCTTATATACTTTTGTTCAAATTATGGAGAGAAACATATTCAAATTATTTACCAAACACTACTGCAGTTATATATACGAACGTAAATTAAAGGCAAGCATGTCAAACTCACGAGCCAAATGAACAAAGTCATGTTCATGTTGATCGCATAAGAAAATTTTTCTTAAATTTCGAAAGTACAAAAGGAACAAGTAATTATAAAATTCATCTTTTATTCTAATTTTTCCATACTGGGAGGAAAATTTCTTCATTGACTGCTTCGGAAATTATAAAACTTTTCATTTACGAATAATTGGTCAATCCCGATCAGTATTCCTTAACATTGAGATACTTTTATACGAATTTTCGAGCTCGTCCAAGCCTGGCCAGCAGTTGCTTAAAATTCCGGAGCTCTAATTACTCCTAAAATTCCTTTGTCTCCATTTGCATATAGTTAGGTACTGATTATATTTATCGAGAACAAAACAATTATCTTCAAAAATTTAAAAACTATGACGCAAAATCTCTTCTCAAATTCAGTTTTATGGCTTATAAACTCTGTACAAAACAGTTGTAAAATTAGTACTTCATTATATACTGTTTTTAAAGATTTAATATCTGTCTCAAATGCTCATTTGTGCGCCACGTGCAGCCTGTAACTTTAACATGCTTGTGCTTGATTGATTATACATAAAGATTGAACATGATATATTTGGATCATATCATGCATTCAAATTTTATTTCAAATTTTCGTAATTTGAGATACGTTACCCTGGAGCAGTTCACCAACCATTTCATTAATAAAATTTAACACTCAAATTTTTTTTAAAGTCTGTAATTAAAAAATTCAAAAATTGGGACAAAATTACACATTTTAAATTTCCAAAACAGCGAAAGGAAGAAGGTGCCAACTTCAAAACCCAATTCTGTTTCTGAGACTTGGTCATAGAAAGAATGGGTCTGAGCGATCAGCTCACATCCGATATTTGGAAATTTCTTAGAGTAAATAAAGATATACAATATGAATAAATAGATTAGAGTCAAGTATTGTAATTATTATTAATTATCATTAGCTTCAAGTATTGAGTTTTATATGCAATAGTAGTTACCTTGCGTGATGACATTCTGCTAAAATAGATATACATGCAATGTAACTTGGCCCTACACATTTTAAGTGACATTGGACACTGAAGTATCATGCTACACTTTCAAATTGTATTCACGTAGTTTTGAACTAAAGAGTGAAGAATGATCTCTGAGTTATTTAACAAAACTTATTACGCATTTTTAGATATTTCATTTCTATTGAAATGTATTGATCCAAAAACCGCCTTTATTTATTGGCTTTTTAAATTTATTGCCTTTGAAATTTCAAGTTTTAGAATTAGTTTAAAGGAAATGTTAACTTTAAATAGGCTGACAAACATGTTTCCAAATGTTTCAGAAGTCAAATCATACTGTCGGCTTTCAGAGTTTTAAAGTTAACGATATGGCTACACAATGGTCACTGTTTTTCGACAGCTAACCAATTTAAAATTGTAACAATTTTAATCAGGCCAACATATTGCGATATTCAGAAAGAATGTACAATTCACACAGATCATACTGAAGATACTCACGCTAGGCAAGATAATTTTCTAGCAAGCTGGAATGCGTCGATTTTAAGTTGCAGTGCTGTGCATGGTAGTCTTGTTTGTAGAATTGTTTGCATCTACGCTTATATAGAAAGTTTATCGAAAGTTATTTAACTTGCATTCGACTGTAAAGAACATGAAATGCAATGCTGTGTGAAGATAAATTTTTAAGACTATATGGATAAAAATTAACAAATGAATTTTGTAATTGATCCCAAACTCGCTTAAGAAATTAATGTGTAGGCTGAGTAAGACATATGCAGCTAGTCGGATGTTAAAAATTGGTAGATACTACACCAAACAGCAATTCTGTTCCAAACATGAATATTCAGAAAACATTTTAAAATAGTCACGGTACTCGTTAAAGATCTAATTTGTGTAATTTTAGCATTTACTATTCCTGCGTTGGTTAAAACTCGTTTTATACTAGTTTTGCTTCCAAAAGAAAATCATTAAAAATTATCTGTACTTTTAGAATAGAAAACCTGCAATGTATCGAGGTACTTAGAATTTCCTACGATTCTATTTCATATTTACTATCTATACTTTGAATTTTAAATTATTTTCTATAAAAATTATAGTCTAGTTAAATGTTTTGTTCTCTTATAAATCTTCAGATTTCTCTACGTTTCCGAAGTTGAAAGCATAAGTTAAGCTTCTTCATAACACTTGTTAGTTTAGCTAGTTTGTTAATTTATGAGTTATTATCCGTGTTTAAGTTTGAAGTAATCGAGACTAACTTGAAATTTCAGCAAATTCCCACCCCCTCACCAGCCGGCTGGTACCTAACCGACCCTCCTCTTTTCTTGAAGTAGGAAAAGAATAATCAGATTATTATTAACTATATTGTCCTTTCTCCAAATTCCTTCTCGCCTGTGCATTTACCAAACCCATACTCCAACACAATACACTTGCAATTGGAACTCCTCCCCTTATAAAGTAGCTTAGCTTCATACTTTTAACATCAGAATTGTGAAAGAAATCTGAAGATTAAAAATCGTATCTGAAGTAGAGATTCTCCAACATAAAAATTATGCATCTAACTATTAATATCCAAATAATAAAATTTAATTTATTAAACGGGAATTTTTTTGGATTATTTGAACTATCAGCGTCCAACTTTTCAGCTAAATGCGCATAAAATTAAGCTAATTTCTAAAAAATGCGATTTATTATTCTTGGACCACTATCGAACTAATTTAATGCCTTCGAACCTAATGGAGACCATGTATGACAAAGTTTCTAAACATTAATTTTTGGAGCAGAATTGGTTAAGTTGGCACAGTAAGACCAAATCTTGCTTTTATTTATGAACTCCTAGCAATAAAATATCTTTAAAACGAAGATGACGGTATCTCTTATAGGAATTTATATAATTTAGTATTAAGCCAAATGTCCCGAGATCTTGCATCCATTTTGGTTCAATCTTTAAATATTGACATTTCTTAAGATACTTAGTGTGTCTCCTAATAGAGAATTTTTACTTGCAACTCTGTTGTACTTATTATTTGAGACAAAGTTAACATTGCACATTTCATTAAAAGTCACAGCACACGCCTTTCACTCAATTACAACCAGGATATACTGAAAATCAAAAAAGAGGAAGTCCGAGTAAATTCTATTGTGATTCTTTCTATTTCAGGATCGAAAATTCTGCAGACAACGTTTATTTGTTCCAGCTCTTCTCGATGCCACCTCAGTGAATAGACGGATGATAATCACTATAGCCTATGGCCCCGAAATGTACAATTTAATTCCTGAAAATGGCAAAAAATTCAACTTCTCTCTGCAGTATTCAATGACGAAAACTACAATTAATTATCCTAAATAAGAGTTGGAATCCATGTGTCAGAGTTTGTAGTTTTGGCCTTAAGCTAAGTTTCAAATCTCATGACCTAGAAACGTTGAGACTATATAAATTCCCAAATGAAATGTCAAAAGTGTGTACTTCGGATTTTACAATGATATATATATATATATATACTTTATCATAAAAGGGGCCTCACATATGGTCTAAAGGTTCATATACCTAGCTCTTATCAAGGAGGCCAGGGTTCGATTCCTATGTGGGAATTTGAATGGGGCAAATGAATACATTTGAAGAGTTTTTTTAAACATTAATCTTAAAAATCAAGATGGGATACTATTTAAATATTTTATACGTTCATCCACACATCCCGGCAAATTTAGGATATTAGTAATTAAGCAGTAAATGTTTATATTTAATATCTAAGTTAACGCTTGATCTACGAATTGGTGAACTAATCCTAGAATGTAAAGAACACTTAAACTTGAAACAATTTTATATGAAAATATATCACCAAAGACGGACGATCATCAGTTCATAGTACTTTTCCCCGTCTGCGGACTTTGAAATTGATGAACATTTCGAAACTGCTGTGTCCGATACTAATCAGCTAGCCGTTAAGCCGAGATTGAGTGGAAGTAAGTTCAGGAACAGGCAGTGCTGTATTTCACCTTCCGTTTCTTCACGATCCTTATTCTAAACATGGACGTCGCACACAACGTTTTGATTAGTCAGTGAAAGAAAAAGGCCTCTTTCAAGAGATCCTGAAAAGAATTTAAATTTATTAAACATTGTGGAAATTTTTAACAGTTTAAGTGCTTATATCGAAAAAATTTTAAACATGTCTTCTATGGGTTTCCACCCTAGTGTACACGCTAGCGAACTTATTTGAAATTTTTTTTAATTCTCTAGAAGTTTCCCCCTTCCTCTATTTACTCCACTAAATTTCATTTTTTTCTAATGACTGGTAATGTAACAATGAACATGATAACTTTAATTATAGAGTATATTATCATACTTATAGTACCCAAAACATTAATTTACAGGTTACTGCGTCAATTTTTAAAAGACTTTATTATCAGTTTAAGAGGAAAGCCCTGTGTAATACTTAAGAATATTTGAAAACTTTCTGGATTAAAATTGCACTCCCAAAACAGAATGATTTTCACTTATTTTGCTATGCTGTAGTAGAGATAAATTTTATATCGTTGCTTATGTTACATTTTCGCAATCAGAATTCCATTCCAAATATCGAAATAAGTGGTTCGAATAAAGTGCGTGGTGAAAAAATCTGAATATCCCAGACACTAGGGACTGCCACACAGCAAAATATAAGTGAATCCAGAGAGCAATCCTAAAAGATGTATGAAAAGTCTATATCCAAGAGTTTTGTAATTGGTATCCGATGCAATAAATTTTCTAACCTCTTATAAATATGGCAAGCTAAATGCATGACCAAAAATACTTAATGGTCATAAACTGCTATTGAACTTTGGCTGCGTACCTTGTAGGTTTTATTGAAAAACTTGCATAGGTTACGGGTTTAATTTATGACAATTCAACTAATTAATCAGTATATATAATAGATAGTTTTTTCCCTTTGTTTTTGCCACAATTTAAAGATGCGTGAGGACCGTTTTCAAATCATCCTTGTAAATATTGATCCTTGTTTAGCCGACAAGAAATTTGTTGGTGGTTTTAGGGCACAACAACCATATTAGACTATAATGTGCCAGACTTTGGTAAATAAAAACATCCAAATATAAGTATCAGTAAAACCAAAGAAAATTTCCTGGCATTCAATAGCCATGATTAAAAAAATTTAAAAATAATCGAACCACAAAATTTATCTCTAACGGAAGCATAAAACCCAATAGCCGACAAGAAAGCCGCTGGATCACTCAATTACCACGCGATGCCAAAATTTGATTCTAGACAACAGATTTAATACCAACTGCTTAATCCAGCTATTTCCGCGGGTTGGAAGCTAGTCTATTTTCTGCGACATCTCGCGATTTTCGCATGATAATGTGCTTATTTAGTGTCATTAAAACATTGAATTATTATACTAATAAAGCTTTGCCTATGAATAACAAATTGATTCAACGGTATCTGATTTGTTTGCAAACGTTGCATCTAAACATTTTCAATTTAACTAAAAACTGCCAAACTAATTATTCTATTTAAATGATACTGGAAAAGCTGAAAATTGAATAGCATTTTACGATTCAACTAGGATCCGATCGCAACTTTTTCGTTCTTCTTGTATTTGAATTAAACTTCGACAATCATGTTGCATCTTTTAGTTACCAAATTCCCAGCTTTCAGTGACTGCAAGGTACTCTTTCTTCCTTAAAATTCAACTTGCTTAACTTGATTGCAAATCAAAAATAAAGCAGGCATTTGCATCCATTTCTTGCATACGGAAAGGGGTGCGGTTTGAATAAGACAAATTTGTCGGTTTACTCAATTTATAATTAAAGATGAGAAGAACTTCAAAAGAAGTTTTAAAAACTTGGACAATCATACTACAAAACTAGCAAAACAAATAAGATTAAAGAACCAATAAGCGATCACATATTACAACTTTTGACCACAATTAGCATCTGTTATACGAATAAAAACATGCAGAACTTTTATCGATAGGAAAGAGTGAAAACATTCAACTTCACATTAAAATTTCAACTAATATATTTCAGAGACGCGATATAAGCAGATTAAAAATCCTATCAGATCAGCATCTTCATGATTTGCATCCTTACTTCAAAGTATGTTCATCCTGGTTAACATGTAATCTGGGTATTCCATATACATAAACGTCAAAAAGTATATATTTGGAGCTCCTAGTCCTTATATATAAATATACAGATAGCTAGTTAAATCAGAAAAGTAACATTCCAGACAAATATTAAATTTATAGTCACTAGCTTATATCGCATTTCATCGGTTCATTTGGATTTACAGGCAAAATTGCATAGGAAAGAGTTAATGTAAATAAAAACTAATAACAATAGTTCTAAAAGTCAGCAATGAAAAGTTTACTTACTCGCATATCCATCTCAAACAGAAATCTTGAAATAGGTGGCCATGATTAATCTCTTGTACACAAAG